GGACACCAAACAACCTTCTAGTTTTGTTAGTTACAACTCAACTATTTCTGATACAAATCATTTCAATGCCTTCCAAGAAGCTTCAATTTTCATTTAGCTATGCTGAAAATACATATGGCTGCTAAGGAAATAAAATCCTGTAAAACTTGTACTCGGATGTCATATGACAAAAGAGGCTAAACAAGAAATTATAGCTCTTACACTAAATATTTTTAGATTGCGGACCCCAATTCTACATTATAAGATATATGGAAGCAATTTTATCTATAGCAATTTAACCACAGTGACAAATTATCCCTGAGGAGTGGTTTTCAAATCTTTAGTAGCAGAAACCTTTTTTCAAACAAAGCTAAGTGGAATTCCACCACAGAAAAAAATGCAGAGCTGATCTTGCTAGAGGGAGGGACCTGTAGTTGTGTCTGTAGTCCCCCTCAAGGACACACCACCCCTTCCCTGTCCCCAGTCCCCAAATGAAGTGGGCCTTTAGGCATCTCCGAGAACCATACAGTGCTAAGAAACACTCATAGAACAAGCTGCCATCAATAGAAAAGTACATTAAGTTTTTAAAATTTCAAACATCACTAAAATGTAAAATTAAAACTTACCCATTTCTACTGAAAACTCTTAGCCATGCTTTGATGTTTGGTCCTAACAAACACAAACAAGGTACTGTAGTAAAAGTAGACAATATAACTGCAAATAAAAATGTTTCCAACACCAACCTAGAAAAAAAATTTTTTTGTTAATTTTTTTTAAAGTGTTAAAGGAGCACATATATACACATACCTAATCTTTGTTACTTAAGTAGATTTAATATGAAAATATTTTACTTATACTTTACTTTGAAAGGTAACATGAGTCCTACCAAAATGATTACTATAAACAATTCAAGCTATATAAAAAAAAATCTAGCAAATATCTGGCTTTAATGAGCTCAGAAGTGTTAAATATCCTATGATCCATAATGTCCACTGCAAAAAACCCCATTCTAGATCATTAACTTTCTTCCACAATAGTCTCTGGAACTTTCTCTGCAAGCAGTGGTTCAACTTTAGCTTATATTGGAGCCACTTAGAAAGCTGGATAAAGATGGGGGGGCGGGGGGAGGTACCTCTAGAGTTTCTACTGAGACTTGAGAATATGCATTTCTATAAAATGCTGATGTTGCTGGTTTTAGAACTACACTTTGAGAACCATTGCTCTAGACACTCATTCTACTCTAATTAGTATTAGATATAAACATCCATTTACCATTACAAAGGTCTTGTCCTCCTTTCTCTAGAAAAGAATTACCTGTTAATTTAGTGTGTGTATGTGTATGCATAAATATGTATAAAACTATAAACGTAGCTGTATAGCTATATTTCTGTATATATATATATAGATAGATAGATATAAAACATCACTCATTTCACCATCATCATTAATTACTGTTAAACTAAAGTTTCCCAAACTATAGTGAACATTATATAAGAAATCTTCATGAATTTAATTTTCACTAATTTAAAATTGGTCAGTTTTGAAAATGTGTTCAGTTAAACTTTACCATTAAACTATAAACATTAACTTATTAAGTATTTAAATACAGGACTCTTTGACTTTTCTTAAGAAAACAAAACCTTTTCAAGCACTTCAGAATCATATTTACTAAGAACTGATATGCTTACTATAACTAACTTAGCCGCATTACTATAGTAAGTTCTCTTAGAGGTTCTAAGGGCCACATATTTACTGGTATATTAGAGTTACTCATCTACCTCCCCTCATATGCAATTAGGTAATAGAAGTCTAGGTAATAGGAACATTTGATGAATTAAGTTATTCCACTGTTTTTTAAAAGAACAACACTGCTAAGGAAGGGCAATGATGTCAGTATCCTTCCACGACCCAATAATCAAACACACCAGTTTTTCTCTAATGACCAAAAGAATTAGCCCTTTATTTAGCAAACAAGTGTTTTAAAATATAACTGCCTTAAGATAAAAATTTCAGACTTACTCTATTAGTGGTGCTCCATATAGAACAAATATTACATGAAAGAAGAAACAAGACATAAGAAAGTAGATACAGCATTTCAAAAGTCTGGTCACCTAAAAAAGAAATGAATAATTTAAAAACTCAAGAGAATGTCTAAAGGGCAGCAAATGCTTCCATTTGATCTATAAATATAGCTTATTCCCATGCATGAAACAGCTGAATGCTCCTTGGATTTGGGTATCCTGAAGTCAGATCACGTCCTGTGCACAGTCAGGTGCACAGCCCTCAATATAGCCCTGTAAAAAAGTCTGTAAGACAAGTATCACCCCCATATTCCACCCACCCATCTAGCATTAGAGTAAAAAAGCATGCCTATTTCTATGGTATGTATTGAGCTATGTTGTTAATCAGTACTTAAGAAATATTTGCCAATAACAGACTGCTAGCATACTAGAACATAAACACAGTCCTTATTACGTGATGACACATGAAATATTTGTTATATTATCCACTGACGATGTCCTAGTTCCACAATTAATACATGGCAAGGATTGATCCAACATTGTGGGTAGCCCTTCCAGCAAGTAACAGGTTACTAATTTGAAATAAAAATCAGGTTCTCTTTAGTCACTATAAATAACCTAATGAGTAATTGATGAACGCTTTATTTTTCCATTAAGAGAAACACTATCTAAAAATCAGCTATCAAGAAATAAGCCTTACCTTATATGATAATGAACTTCTTTTAGAGGATGCATTTGGTTTCACTACTAAATACAATACTAGATTGACGGTAGTTACAAAAACAGAACAGATGCACAACCATGTCAAGTGTGTTTCCAATATTGAGAAGTTCTCCAAGAAGAATGATGGAATGAAGATGCTTAAGATAACTGAGAATATGCATGAAAGATGGGTATACAGTAGTCTCTTGATATCAGTATCTTTCATGGTGTTTTCTTCAGTGGCTATCTAATGAAAAACAAATTAAGAAGAACATATGTAATAATGATTTTTTCCATTGTCCTAAATGCTCCAACACCTAAAAATAAGTAATGAACCAAAGACAATAATGTATTAAAGACTAATAATGTATTAGTTTCAGAATATAGGAAGATGCATATGTAGGCTAATATGGTACACAGCTCCGAGAGCCTAAAAAGGACCAATTTTCTAATTTCTTAAATATTTGTGACTGGTTTCTGCAAAAGGGCCATGTGCTAGGACCAAGTAAGCAATTTCTTTTCTTTTCTCGCGCTTTCTTCTTATTATTATTTTTTTTAATGACTAAAATCAGAGGTGAAAACAAACTGTACGGATTAATGATCTGCCCCTGTTGGATATATAGCCTAGGCATTCTAGAACCCCCCTGAATGCACTGTGGCTAAATTGTTGGCATTTTTTTTTTAACCATTGTGGACCATTGCCTAACATCACAGTAGTTCACATCTTCTGGCAAACGCCAAGTGACTTCAACACACTCAAATATTCAAACCGTGGCCAGTGTAATCAAGAGAGTTTAAAGAACATTATGCTAAACTAAGGGATCCCAGAGCTCCAAAATACCAAAATGACAATGTCTGTTGCAGGTGCCAGCTTACAATCAAAAGTAGAGCATAAATTTACTTTTTCTCTCTCCCTCTCCCTCCCC